TCATCGGCGTACGCTAGTAATTGTACGCTGCTATTAATAATAGTTCCTCTGGTTGTTTTTCCAGTTTCTATTATCGCTTTCTCTAGTACAATATTGAATAGATGACATGATCGGCTGTCTCCTTGTCTAAGTCTTGTCCCAGAACAATAGACAATTGACTGAAATCGACGATATCTGTAGTTTCATCTAGGGCAATGGAAACAAATTGTGCTTCTTTTATTTCTTCTTTATTTTTTCAGATCAATATTTGCCACAGACTTGATCAAATCATTTTGTATCCTATTTGAGTTACCTCATCATATTGTGATAAAAAAATTAGTTAAGAAAAATAGAAAAAGATTTCCTTTTATAACTGCTTCTAAATGCGTTTTACTTAAAATGTGTCTTTTTTCCCTATCCACCCTAATCTGCCATTCGAGTCATCCAAAATTGACAACTCTATTGTATTTCCAATTCGCACGAGTATGGTATCATCAGTGATTGCATAAATACCAAGTATCATAATATTTCTTTGATTTTTTTTTTATGTTTACTCTTATTATATTCTCGTCTATTGCCTCAAAGTCAGTAACTTTTTGTGTATGTTTTCCGTGTACTAAAACTGATACTCCTTTTTTACCTATCTCGCATATTGAAATTCCACTTAATATATCGCACACCAGCATTAAAAGTGTAGCAACTCAAAAATGTGAGTATTTGAGTTAAGGTCATATTTGAATTCCTCGAATAATTACCTATTCGCCAATAAAACTGCAGTAATTGTATTCCCCCTAGTGTGTCACAGGTGGCGATGTAAGTCGGTTTTGCTGAATGATTACTCGTTCGCCCGCATTATAAAACCGCGCCATTTTTAGTTACGCTCCGACTTTCGTGCAGTGTGTACGGTTTCACAGTGTGGCATTTTGAGTTGCAACGGTTTTGGTGAGTAAACTTGATAAAACTACAATAATTATTTAGATTTAATACAATTTAGCTGATGTACTCAGATATTTTTACAGCAGCATTTTGAATTGTAGCAGCTTTTGTTGCTTAAATTTTAATTTGTTTAAAGTTTATTTTGTTTTGCTACATTTTTAATGAACTATTTTTTAAATTTAGGGTTAAATCGGTATTAATGGTGAATTCATTTTGTAACGTTAATTTAGTTAGTTCTTGATATTTGGGATAATTTTGAATATTTTATGTTAACTATAAGAGATTTATTTTTATTTTATAGATTTTGGAATATTAAATTTTCATTTCAAATTAATAAAAAGATATTTTTGAGTTGCTTCACTTTTGACGGTTTAGTTTATTTATCGTTATTGTTTCAGTATAATGCCGAGCCGTGGCCGTTTATTTGTTGACATGGCTTTACAAAAGCATGAAAATAAGAACATTAATAAAGATTCTTCCAACATTTCATCAGTTCAAAGTATTCCTTTGCATGACACCACAAATTCTTTAGAATTCAATTCAAAGGAATCTAATTAATCTAGTCGTCAACATGATAAGTCTTCTTTTATGCCTGGAAATGAAAATTTACTACCCGAGAATAGCATATATTTAAATGAAACTCCAACCATTTCCAACGAAAACACCTATAATCATTTATGTCTACCAAGTACGTCTAATATTGTTAATATGGATCAGAGAAAAAATTATTACATATCACCCATTCGAAGTAACGAAAGCGATATAGATGATTCCGATGCTGATCCAAATTTTGATGTCTCTCTAGACAAATCATTCTCAAACAGATTAATTCCTACAACTAATAGTTCTTCATGTAGTAGCAGCAGTTCTTTGACTAGTTTCGAATATTGGAGATAATGGAAAAGAAGAAAAAAAGAGTCGAAACCTGAGAATGGAAGACGAATGTAGCAAAACAGTTACGAAACTCAGGTAAGGCATACGTTTCTATGTCTAAGTCAAAAAAAGAAATTTCAGGAAGAATGGTTCGTGAAGGTTGTGGTGAATTATGTCGTTTGAGATGTAATAATAATATTAATATCGAAGATAGGCAACGCATTTTTAATAATTATTGGGAAATGGCTGATCTTCAACGTCAAAGAGATTACATCTTACGACACATAGATGAAATCAAACCTAAGTACAGATATTATAGCACCCAAAATTTAAGAGCACTGAATAAGGCATATTTTTTTGAAGTGAACGGTACTCGTATATGGGTTTGCAAAAAATTTTTTAAAGCTACACTTGATTTGAACGACAAGCCAATTGATACAGCGCTTACTAAGAAAACTAATTCTGGAATTGTTCAAGAGGAACTTAGAGGCAAACATAACAATCACCCCACTGTTGGCTCTGATATTATAAATAGTGTTATAGAATTTATAAATGATATTCCGAGAATTGAGTCACATTATTTAAGAGCCCAGACATCACGTGAATTCATACAGTCCGACAAATCATTATCAGATTTGTATAGAGACTATAAATTTACTCGTGAAAAAGATAACTTGCCCTTTCCTTCCCAAACAACTTTTAATCGTATCTTTCACACAGAATTTAATATATCTTTTTATGTTCCTAAGAAAGATCTCTGTGATTTGTGTGAAAGTTATAAAAATGCTGATGTAAACGATAAACAAAAATTACTTGAAAATTATGAAAATCATCTACGAGAAAAACAATTGGCAAGAATAGAGAAAGAAAACGACAAAAATAGGACTGATGTTAAAGTAGCTGTATACGATTTACAAGCAGTGATGCCTGTTCCTAAAGGCCAAGTGTCATTATTCTTTTATAAATCCAGAATAAACTGTTTCAACTTTACGGTGAGTGATTTAAAAGCGAGAAATGTTACATGTTATTTTTGGGATGAAACAGAAGGTAAACGTGGTGCAACAGAAATTGGAAGCTGTGTACTTGCTTATATACAAAATTTAATAGCTGATAATCATAATGAAGGTAAAAATTTAGATATCATTTTTTACTCTGATAATTGCTGCGGCCAGCAAAAGAATAAATATTTATTAAGTGCTTATGCATATGCTGTTTTTTACATGGGAATTAAATCTATTACACACAAGTTTTTAATTCGAGGGCATTCACAGAATGAAGGTGACAATGTTCACAGTGTAATAGAAAAACAAATTAAAAGACATGTTAAGTCGGGCCCCATTTACACTCCGCAACAGTATTCCACACTGATTCGTACTGCAAAAAAAACTGGTCCGCCTTATACCGTCGTGGAGATGACACATCACATGTTTTTTGATATCAAGGCTTTGCAGGAAGAGTGGGGAACAAATTTCACTATGGATGAAGATAAAAACCAAGTTAAGTGGCATGACATAAAAATTCTTCGCGTTGAAAAAGAAAGTCTGGAGTCTTTTTCTATAAAACGAGCTACTCTGATGTAGATTTCAAGAAAACGGAAGTACAGAAAAGGAAAGCTAAAGTAAATAGAGAATTATTTTCAGAAGGTTTGAAACTTGTGTATAATAAAAAAATTCCATTGCCTGATGCTAAAAAAAATGATATTAACGAACTTATTGAAAAAAATATAATTCCGAAAACCTATTATGATAGTTATTATAAAAATGTATTAGATTAGGCCTAAATTAATGTATTGATGGCAGTTTATTTTTTTTACATTGCGAATAGTATTTATGTTATTGTCTATATTCTGTTGTATCTCAGTTTAGTTTTTTCCAATTGTGGATAGTTTTTATGTTTTTGTCAACATTGTGTCAAAGTAATGACTGCTTTTGAATATTTTTTGTATAAAATACTTTGTTTAAAATAAATAAAATAATTTTAAAATTAAAATATGACTTTAATAATTACTTTTTCTGAAAGTCTCTTGTCTATTTCACTAAAAACTACAGTTTTGTGTTATGATTCACATTGACAAATTTAGATTAAAAGTGTTGCATCTTAATTTAATTGCAATAAAAGTGAATTAATTCAAAATAATTTTGAACTCATGACGGTTTTCATTTTTCGAAAGTGTAATAAGTCAAAAAATCTCACTTTTTTCTATTAAAAATGCAAGATTAATACTCATGTGATACCAAAATACTTCGTAAACCAATGTGCTTTCAATATGATTTACAAAAGCTTTTAAATCTTTTACTATATCGAGTAGATTAGATTTTTTCAATTTGTCGAAAAAGTGGTTTTTTGAGTTACTACACTTTTAATATAGGTGTGCGATATGTATATAATTATTTATTTTCTCTGTAGCAGTTCCTTTCGTTTTTGTTTTAGTTAAGACGAGTCCTATATTCATGTCTAACTTGGTAATTCCTAGAATGTTTGTTGATTTGATACACCAATCTTCAATATCAAATCAAGATAATTAATTACTTCCATAATTACAGTTTTTGTATTATATCCCTAAAATTTCAATTTTATAAGAAATCTCCTTAAGTTCTAAGAACGTAACACGATCTTCCAGTCGCCTATTACAGTTTTTTAAACTTTCGTTACTCAGTTCCATTACTTCTTTAAAAATTCCGGGCTATCTTATAGCAATTCATCAATTCTGCAAAGCATAATGAGTAGAAACCTTTAAGATATTAACAATAACCGCGACCTTAATCTTAGTTCCTTTACATTTGATATTATCGTCAATAATTTTACATAAATATTCTTGAAGCACAGCTTTCATGATAATGACTTTTCTTGTAAAGAATACAGGACACAGAATTTATTATAGTTTAATTGCAAGAATTTAAAGAATTTAGTAAGATACATGGTTAACCTCAAACTTTTCTTTTTTCTTCTAACAAATAAATATAATAGTTTTGAAATAATTCAATAGTTCCATAAATTTGCCTCATTATATAATTAAAACGTTTCGAAGATTATTAGATCAGTCTTGGTTTTAAATGAGATTGGCGTTGACAGTTACAAGAAAGAAACAAAAAAAATGTATAATTATATTATATATTTCAATACTAATCTACTTATTTTAATAAAAACAAATAAAACAACAAAAAACGGTTACTGATTCTTTAATTTATTATATGACGTGCCTTTATTTTCAGTTTGCAAATATACTGTTCACGAAAGATGTGTCGCTAGAGCTCCAGCTAGCTGCATAGCAACCTACGTAAAAAGCAAAAAGTCTTGCCAAACGTTACAGCACCACTGGGTGGAAGGAAATTGTCACGGAAAATGTGCCAGATGTAGGAAACCCGTGAAAGCTGGCATCACAGGACTGCATTGTAGGTGGTGTCAAATAACGGTGAGTGATTTATGTTGTTTTAATCTTGTGTTTATACTAGAAGCATTGTATGATATTACTCTTTTATAAATCTACTAGTTGTTTATCTTTATTAATATTAAAAAATATATTGTGAATAAAAAAATTGTTATTTTTCTGTTTTATTATCAAAGTTTTCGACATCACTTTTATACTGGTGGTACTCATAATAAAAATAACATTTTCCAGGCTTATATGCCGTCTGTAATTATATGCCGTCTGTAATGATTTTATTCTGATATTATGTGTACTAGTTTGGCGGAAAATATTAAAATCCAGCTGGTACAGATCAGTGGGCTTATGGACGGAGACCGACCACACTAAAGTTGCTTTTCTATCTGTCTGTTCAATATTTACTTCAGAAATGAGGAACCTTTAATGCGCAATCTTTAATGAGGTACCTTTAATTAGAAATAAGTGAGCTTTAATGTCAGATGTGAACTTAATAAATTTTATAAACTAATAAATTTTTACCCCGTTTTGAACGATGAAATCTATTCGGAAATGTATAAAAAAGGTGGTGATCAACTTTTTGCAGCAATCCATTAACTAATAGTACTTATATGTCAGAATGAATTGGTACCAGAAGAGTGGCTAGAGGAAATAATGTGTCCGTTGCATAAAAAGGGTGATCAACTGCAGTGTAAGAATTATAGAGGCATTACTCTGCTAGCATATGTGTATAAAATCTTCGGCAATGTATTGTTTGAAAGACTTAAATATTTTACGGATAAGGATATTGTTGGTCAATATCAAGGCGGATTTACTGATGGAAAGTCAACTACACATCAAATTCAAGCATATAGGTAGATTCTAGAAAAGTTACTAAAATATAACGTAGATACACACCATCTCTTCGTCGACTTCAAAGCAGTCTATGGCAGTGTGAAAAGAACCCAGGTTAGTTAAATTGAGCCAACTAACAATGCAAAACGTAAGCTCATGCATTAGAACTAAAGGAGAAAACTGTACGTTCTTTGACATTAATAACGGTCTAACACAGGGGGATGCGCTGGCGTGTCTTCTCTTTAATATTGCCTTGGAAAAAGCAATTTGACAATTAAATATTAGAATGAATGGAACTTTTTTTAATAGATCGACTTAAATTCTTGCATTCGCTGACGATATAGTTATAGTGGGCAGACATAAGTTAGTCATAAGGTCAGTACGAGAGACATGGTGCAGTGTTTTATAAGGTTTGCGGACGCGGCAAGTGAGTTAGGACTTGTGGTAAACGAGGAGAAAACTAAATATATGTTGGTTATTGAACATCCCCGAAATATCCAACAGAGATTTCAAATTAACAACCATAAGTACCTTTGAGCAAGTCAAAAACTTCACATATTTTGAATTGCTAGTAAACGCAACAAACACGATAAGCGACTAAATAAAAAGACGCATAGCAATAGCAAACAGAACTGTTCACGGTCTCCAGAAACATTTAAAAAATAAAAATATACAACATAGAGTATAGCTCAATATACAGTGTAGGTAAAAGTTTATGGTCAGTATGGTAAAATTTAACAGGATATCTAACACAGATATAAAATCATATTTTCAGCGAATAGACAAAGATAACAATCTTATTTCTAAGATTTACTAAACTTATGCAAAAACTCGTTTCATCCGTTTTCCATAGTTACAGAACGAGTTTTTAAAAAGTTTGTAGGGTGGATTCCTGGATATAAACCGCCAACAAGAAAAACTTTGTCAGGTTCATTACTTCAGGAATGTTATATAAAAACTGAGCAAATTATTAGATCACAAGTTGTTAAAGAAGTAGAAAATATTGTATTACTACTGACCTCTGGACATCTGGACTTCAAATATATTTATTAGTTTTCTCAGGATTCGAAAAAAATGAATGCATTTAAAAAGCATTGGCCCGAAATTTTGCGCCTACGCTCTTAACGATAAAAACGTCAACAAGTTACAACGACCCACCTCTGACGAGACAGACGTTGCCAAATAATTGTGAAGATTTTTTGGCGTTATTGTATGCAGTTTATTATTTCATATTGGGAATAAAGCACAATGTGACTTTAAAATAAGCTTATTTTGATGTTTAAAATCGTACTTAAAATACGAAACATTAATAAATTTTATTTATATAAAACGATTTCCGAAGTGGAAATCAAAATGTTATATTACACTTATTGTAAAGTAAACTTGTGGCATATTTCCAATAAAAAACAGTAAGCTGCCATTTAAATCCATTTCGCTCAAATTTGATTATCTTAGAACATTGTTCAAATGCTAAAAAAACAACAGGTCAAATAAAACCAATAAGTTTGGCAACGTTGAACTTCCTCTTTTTTATTATATCCACGCATGCATGTTCGGCGATATAAAGGGCGAACCTAATATACCTCTCTCTTTTTAAACAGGTGTTTCTCAAACGTGGACTTTATCTCAAAATAATGAAAGACTTCTTTATATTTAAGTTGGCTATTATTTCATAACCTATTCTACTAATAATAATAAGAGGAAAGTAAAATTTTGCAAAATAAATATTTATTTTCAATTGTTTAAACAAACTACTCGGTTAAGTAAACAATGCACAAATTAAGTAATTAAATTTTCATAATCTATTCAACGAGGTACCCTAAATTAGAAAAAAAAACATCAGTTTTTGTTAATTAGAACCGGAGATATTGCGACTTTTATAAATTTGAAGTTATAAATTCAGTTTTTAAAATAATAAAATCTAGGAATGAAAAATCGACTAACTTCTTTATATCAACAACATCTACTAAAGCGTGCACTACTTGATAAATATTAAATGAATAGTGGACTTATTTACAATATATCTTAAAAGATAATTAGAAACAACTCGAGTGGCAACTTGATGATTATTATGAGTATCACAAAAGTATACTATGATTTCAAAATAGTCTCGTCCCAACCTTTGCTGGAGACGGTCGCATAAATTTGTTTCTCTAATACAAAAATATCTATTATTATAGTAACCAGTTCTTATTGTAAACTATATCGTTAATTACTAATATTAATTATCAGTGTTCTAAAAACGCAAACAAAATAAAGCAAGTGGTATTTCCAAACGCCAAATACCGGCAAATAAAAGTCATAGGCGTATCATAAATAATTGATCGTGATGTATAAAATATTTAATCGTGATACAGGATGGACATAGACAATCCCTTCTTAAATTCAAACAAAGTGAGCAGATCTCCGCCGAGATGTCCAACTTCAGAAAAACACATTGCTAATCTGCAAATAACTACCATGCAACAACCATCGAGCAACAGAACCTTGTCTAGCGAACAACAAAGCAATGAAAATTGCTCAACCAATATACTACTCCAAGAGACAGAGTCAACTGAGAACCAACATGAACAACCAGGTAACTCTTTTCTTTCTAATCATGCTTCTTCTTCTTCTTCTTATCTACCGTCACAAATATACATCTCTACTCCACAAGATAGCCAAGAAAACCAAGAACAAGAATGGAAAACTGTTCAAGCCCACAAACGAGCAAGAAATGACAGCCCTGGAGGTGATAAACAACTAAAACAAACAATAATGAGCGATTACTGGCTCAAAGCACCCACACCAACGTCTAATAGATTTGCTAGCTTAGATGAAGTACCTGATGAGACCAACCAAACCAGAACTGATGCAGTTAAAGAAAGTATTCAACCCCCACCCATATTTGTTTCAGATGTAGGTGATATACAACCTCTTCGACAATTGTTAGAAACAATATCCCCTCTGGGATATTCCATCAAATGTCTCTACAACGACCAAGTAAAGATCCAGCCCTCAACCTCTGAATATTACCGAATCATAACCAAAGCACTCAATGAGAAAAAAACACATTATTACACCTACCAAAAAAAGGAAGAAAGAACATTCCGAGTTGTGCTTCGTAATATGCATCAGACAGCAGATAAAGACGCTTTAGTACATGAGCTGGGATTAATGGGACACGAAGTAACCAACATAGCTAATATATATAAGAATGGATCAAAAATAGCGCTTCCGCTCTTTTATATAGAATTAAAAACTAAGCCAAATAATAAAGACATATATGATGTGAGAGCACTCCAGAACATGATTGTGTCCTTCGAACCACCATATCCCAAAACGTCAGGTTCCCCAATGTACCAAATGTCAACGCTACGGTCACACACAAAAATTCTGCCATATGCCTCCAAGATGCGTAAAGTGTGCAAGTAATCATCTTACTTTACACTGTCCACGAAAAGAACGCAGCAATAACGTAAAATGTGTACTTTGTAACGGAAATCATCCGGCCAACTATAAGGGCTGCAGCGTATACAAACAAATACAAAAAGAAAAAATTCCCCCAACTCAGAAAGAACCAAGAGACCCATATAACAGACACCTTTGAAACTAATAGTCAAAGAGTAACCCCTGGTGTTTCTTACGCTCAAAAAACTTCAGGAAATAGTCAAGCGGATGAAATCACAAATCAACAAACTAATGTCGGCTCAAACCATTCAACGAAAATTGCCAACCTTGAAAACCTGATGACAAAACTAGTAGAGAGAATGGACACCATGCTCAATCTTCTTATGACTATGATTTCCAAAATGCACTAATGCAACACAGACTTAAAATAGCCGTCTGGAATTCAAATGGCCTAACGAACCACATCCAAGAAATAAAAATTTTCCTCGACGAGAAGAAAATTGCTGTTATGCTTGTATCAGAAGCTCATCTAACAGACAAAAACTATATAAAAATTCCAAAATACATTGTCTACTACACAAAACATCCAAATGACAAGGCACACGGTGGCACAGCTATCATTATCAAATCTAATATAAAACACCATGAGTTAAATAAGTTCAGTGAAAAGTACCTGCAATCAACTAGCATTGTCATCGAAGACTGGTTAGGCAACCTTACCTTATCTGCGGTCTACTGCCCTCCTGGTCAACCAATCAACGAAAACAACTTTAGCACCTATTTTAGTTCTCTTGGACACAAATTCA